AATACCTTGGATGGAATCTTAGGTCAGAAAGAAGACATTACTGGGAAAACTAATGAAATCCAAACAAAACGTGGAGTTTAGGTAATACTAATGCATCATTGTTGGTATCTTGGTCATGACAAATGTACCATGGTCATATAAGATGTTAGCAGGAGGAGAAACTAGGTGAGGGACGTATGGGAACTCTGTACCACCTCTGCAATATTTCCGTAAATCTGAAATCAACCTAAAATTAAAAGGATATTTTTAAAAAGTTGAATCTATACGTGTCACAGAAGAGTTACTTAATAAATGTCAAAAAGGTAAGTGAATGAATTTCTTTTAAAGGCAGAACTAGAGGGGGTGGATATAGCTCAGTGATAGAGCGCACGCTTAGCATGCACAAGGTCCTGGATTCAATTCTCAATACGTCTATTAAATAAATAAATAATTGAATAAGTAAACCTCCGCACCACCCCCAACCAAAAGAAAAAAAAAATCCACTGGCATAAACGCAGAACTAAAAGGAAAAGAATTACCTTTACACACACATCTCATAAAGGTAAAACATTAATACACAAAATAACCTCAAACAAATGACCTCCAACAAATAAAGACAAACAACCAAATAGAAAAATATAGACAACATAAAACACAAAGGGTTAATTAAAATCTGAATATTTAAAGAGCACTTAAACATAAAAACCTCATATGAAAATGGGCAAAACCGAAACATTCAAAATGAGTAATAACCAAAATTTAGATTAAAACAAAAACATATACTAGCCCTATAAAATTGGACACTCTCAAAAAAAACAAGTTTTAATCATAATCTCAGTTGTTGGCCAGAGCAGGTAAAATGGCACTCTCATATTGTGCTGGTAGAAATACAAATTGATATAACTTTTCATGAGATAATTTTGATATAATATATATCAAAAACATTTCAAGTATGCATATCATTTTAAGTAAAAAATGATAATGACAACAGCTATGACGACAACAATGATGTTGGCATCTAACATTTCTGAGCTTTTACGACATCCCAGACACTGGTCTAAGTGCTTTCCATATATAAACTATTATCTTCAATGTACAGATTAAGAAACTGAGAGAGATAAATGAATTTGCTTAAGTATACACACCTAAGAAGGATCTGACTAAGAAGTAAGGCAACCTGACTCCAAAGCCAATGTTCCTAATCACCACACTATACAGCCTTAGAATTATTCCACTTTTTGGAATTTAACCTAAAAAATAATCCAGGGGATGTAAACCATCCACATTCATCATAGTACAATTTATAATAGCAAACCATAAACAATCTAATTGTCTAACAACAAAGGATGCATTAAACAAATTAGGATATACCTGTGTTACAGAATACCATGTAATCATAATGTATTCTACAGCCTGACTTTGATGTTGTTGAAAATGTTCACTACATCGTGAGTGAAGGGAAAAAGTAGTTCACAAATACACATATGATGAATCAAGTGTTATAAGTAATAATAATACCCATGCATGAGGAGAAAAGACAAAGAACATATACCAAATCGTTAATGTTGTTTTCAATGGTGAGATTATGGTGACTTTTTTCCTGTTTGTGCTTTTTTATACTTTTCAAATATTCTAAAATTAACTCATCTACATAATCAGAAAAAAGTGTGTTTCAGTAAGAATGAATTACCAAACAATAAAGATAAGAACTCTAAATAAAGACTGCAGTACGGTTAAAAGCTAAAGCTAAAAAACTAAAGTTTAGTAAAAAACAAAACAAAACAAAACAAAAAACTGACATTAATGTTATAAAGCATGAGATAAAATTTAATATATTGTTAACTATAATAAGTTGGGACCACAAAAATCAAAAAGTGTAATAAATTTGGGGAGGGAGAGGTCAAATGACATATAGCTCCTAGTAATAATGTTCCTGAAATTGATTTAAATAAAAGAGAGATTCAAGAATACAAAAGTTTAGAATAAAAACATACTACAGAAATTCTAAATTATCTGAGACAAAATACCAACAAAAAAAATAGCAAAAAGCAGGAAAAGATTAAATGAAAGCAGTACACATTAAAAACAGAAAATTTTAAATAAAATGACAATGTTAACCCCAAACTGAATACAGCCATACATATAAATGGCCTAAAATAACATAGTAATAAGATATCCTTTGGCCTGATTAAATAGTAGTAACATTACTATTACATGAAGGCAAACACAATAACAAAGTGACTCATGACAGATAAAAGATATATAAGGCATATGCAACCTTTGTAAAACAAGGGGGAATTTAAAGTATTAATGGGGATCAAAGAAGTCAACAGGTAAAGATTAAAACTAACAACTTGAAAAAATATGAACTGGATGAAAACAGTAACTATAAAATAACAGAGTCCAAGCCATGACTGTGAGTTTTTAATGATTCTTTTGTTAAATGCAGTAAATATGGGAAGAAACTGACAAAAACGGCAGATTAACATCTCTCAGCATCTAGAAAACTAACAAATATCTATATAATGTCAAAGTAATGATAAGGAATGACAGTATTATGAAGAAAAATAAGGCAAAGTAGGAGAGAAACAGACCTGAATGACATGAGAGAGCAAGGCATGTCATAATCTAAAACATGACCAGATGGCTCACTAAATGCAAAGTCAAAGGAGCAAACAGTTACAATATGTTGTGGTTTTGTGAATTCTGAAATGCCTATTAAATAGCCCATCAGAGATTC